CCCGTCGGCGCCGAGCACACGAAGCCCCGGGAAGAGGGAGGGCGACACCCCTGCCCGGGCGGGACCGGGCTCCTCCGCACGGCGCGGGGTTGGTGCCTGGGGCGGGGCGGAGTTGCGTCCCCTGCTGCTGCCGGGCGGGGGCTCCCGGGGTCCACCTCAGCCCACCCCCATGGGCGCTGCTCTGCTCTGGCCGTGCGGGCGACTTATTTTAGGCCCTCGCCCGAGGCCCGTGGCAGCCCGGCTCGTTTGCCAAAAGCTCCGTTTCGGCAGCGGAAACGAGGCTCGCACGGAACTAAACCCGACCCCTGCGGAGAGCGGGCTGCACGGCTTGAGGAAAGCGGCGTGCTCTGTCTGGGTTGTACATAAAGATGCACGCTGGGTAGGTGGGTGCGAGCAAGCCAAAGGCCATTTCCATAGCAGGGTGCTGTGTTTAGTTTGCATTTCCTCAGCGAGGTCTGCATGCTCTGGTCTTGGCTGCTTTCCCTTCCACGTGAAATCCCCTGCCAGTAAATACCAACTAAGCCCTCAGCTCCCCTGGGCGAATGCTTGTATGCTGAGCTGTACGGGAAAGGAACCAGACGACTTGCTAGGCATTAGTGACTTTTGAAAACCAGGAACTGAGTTATGCTCTTCCTCTGGCCCTTTCTTATGCAGGCTGCTTTATTCTGACTAGTGCTAACCAGCTTTCTCTGCCAGGCCCCAGCTCCTGCCTGTGCTGGGGTCTAGTTTTCCATGGTAAAAATCTGGCTGTGGCAGGCAATTCATGCTAAACTCTTCCCTCTGCAGGCCACGAGTGCGCCATGGGCATAGGAAGATGTCACCAGCACTTGTGTTTTTAAACCAACTGAACATTTTGTTCGCAACGACAAGCTAAAACGTGGGAAAGAAATAGTAGGCCAAGTTGCTAGCGTTCTCTGCTGGATGGTGTTGGAAAGGGGTACTGTCCTTCCCCCTACCATGCGTGCCTGGACTGCAGCTGGCTAGGGCTGCCCTAGGGACTTGAAGCAGCAAAAGATAGGAATTGGATCGGGGTCCGTAGGGCCAGCCCTGCTAGGCGATGATCTAAAGAGGAGAAAATTCACAGGTACTGGGCAAGTGAAAACAGGGCAGAGAAATTACAGGAGTCCTGTCTGCTGGGAACTGGACAATGTGCAGTAAAGGTCATGTTCTTTTTTGCTTCCGTCTTCACAACAAAATTGTGTCTGGGTGTTTAACATGAGGGATACGAACAAGGAACACAAGCCAGAACAGGTGAAAGAATAGTTAGATGGCTTTGTATCAGCAGCACCTGATAAGAGTTTTAGGGCTGTCCTCTGCTGTGCACTAGTCAAGGGTTCTCGCTATTGTAGTTCGTAAGGGTACTCACCTGAGAGTGGTTACAAACGTTTTGGAGGACACTCCTAGAACTCAGAAAACCTCTTGCTAAGTTGAAGTGTTTGCAATCAATGAGAGAAAATGCAGCAAAGTGCAGAAGTACTGCATCTGGAACAGGGGAAAACTCAAATGCAGAAATACAAGCTGGGGAATAATGTTGCAGAAATGACAGGCAGCAGTATGGGACTCAGTGAAAATGTGGACAAGAGAGGTAATTATTGCATTCTGTTAAACACAGGCAAAGTCATAGTTGGAGTATGGCATCTTGTGTTGCACAGTGGAGGCTTTTAAGTGAGAGACTAATTGTGGGGAGGAGCATAGAGGAGAGTATTGACAGTAGTAAGACATTAACAAACGTGAAAGAAAGAAAATGTCTAGGAAAGAGGAGACAGGTAAGTGTTCACCTGTGTAAGATCAGTTACTTTCCTTGTCCACAAGGGTGCAGGATAAGTAGTAATCAACTTTTTTTTTTTAAACAGATTTAAGGTTAAGGCTCTTAATTACAGAGTATAGGTAAGCACTAAAACAGCAACCTGGAGAATCCCTTAGTTGGAGGTTTTAAAGAACAGGTGGATAAATGGTCATTACCATTTGCTGCACTGTCAGCCTTAGCCCATTGCCACAGCTATAGGCCAGCAAAGTCAAAATTTTCCTGTGGCCATAAATGTTGTCCGCCAGCCACAACACAGGCACAATAAGGTTAGACAAATCTACTGCAAAGGGCTTTGCTCAGTCTTGGTTCAGTGTGGCGGGTGGATAGGTAGATGGTCCTTCCAGCTCTGTTTGTATGACATGTTTCCTTTTAAGTGGCAGGTTATTGTGGTATTTTTTTGTACTTTATGCACTTCAAGATCCCGGCTTTCAGAAGTGGAGACCATGTTGGGGTTGCTTTGGGGGTAGTAGTGCATGTTAGGTAAATGGAGACACAGGCAGATGTAATATGTGGACCTCTGGCCTGTCATGACTCAGATTTTAAAATCAGCCAGTCTTGCTCAGTCTTTTACACATACAGAAAACACATTTTTACTTGAAGAGGACAGATTGAATCCTTATACTGGAGGCAGTATAATGGAGGATGGGAATCCTGATGGAACATATTGTCTAATGTTAATTCAGATGGCTGACTGGGAACTTTTCACTAGAGAGGACCTGAAAGAATTACTTCAATGCAGACACAAGAACACACGATACCCAGATTTCTGAACTGTGCCCTGGACCTCACTTTTGGTGGTAGGAACAGCTTGCTTATGGAAATTGTAACTACTAACAGCAAACTAATATTTCAGAGAAATTAAAAGCCCTGCCCTATCACTGCTCATTTTTTCAAATTAAGAAACAGTTTAACAACAAATATTTACTAAGTTTAACTAGCTTTAATTAAACATCTGGTTTAATCCTAGGGTATTAAAGAGATTAAATAATAATTCACTTTGCCCCAGCACCGATTTAACAAGGTGACTGATGGTTTTTAAATTCACACCGATTTTTAAATGCATGCCTTAACATCCCACCGAGGTAGATGATTATTCTTCTAGGAGCATAGCTTTGGTCTGTCAAGCAACTATACCATCTTAGTGAAGAGATTAGTTTTGCTGGAAGTGCAGAGACCCTGTAGGAAAAACTTGTCTTAGTAGGAGCTACCCCTTACAAATGAGGGCTTATAGGCTTAATTTTCATATTGGGAAGTATTTTTCTCCATTACTTAAGAATTTATTTATTTATTTTACAGCCACAAAAACTAAAAATCCTTAATGGCAGTGAACAATATGCTGGTACAGTCACAAAAGTGGTGGTTTACAGGATGATCAGGCCCTGCTTTTGATAGCAGACATCCAAGGAGTAATTGTTTCTGAAGCCTGCCTTTGCTGCCCCTATAAGTGTGCTTCCCCTTCTTTGGTTCCTTCCATTTTAGAAATGAATGGCTTTATGCAATCAATGGCTTTAAGAGATTAAGACGGCATGCACTAAATTACATCTGAAACATTTTGACTTCTTGAACCAGTTCATTTGTATTCCATCTGTGAAAGATTAGTTTAACTTGTATACAGTGCAAATATCAATCCCCTCCCCCACATCAACAAAAGAATCGACAAAGTACGACAGAGGTAAAGAGTAGAAGCCAGTAAGTATATTTCCTGTGGAGGGGGAAAATAAAAATCTGAAGATCTGCTGAAAGATTTCAGTGCAAATAACTAGCTTTTTCTTTCACTTGTTTAATGATAGTTTCCTTGCAGTGGTCTGAAAAGCTATTATTTGACATAGGTAAGTTTTGTTTTTTTTTTTTTAACCACAGAATAGACTGAACAGCTCTCCAAGACCAAATAATCTGAAAAGCTACTATTGACATGGGAAGCATTTCCTGTATTTATAATCCAGTGTATGTGGTTAGTTAATAAAAAAAAAGGGGGGGTTTTCCTGGTCCCTTTGATTGTTCGAATTTCATGCACAACTAGCAGCAGCCAGCTTTAAAAGAATTGATTTGCTTTTCCCTCAAAAGGTTTTGCAAGATCAGTTGGCAGTGTTCTGGGTTGGCTAGAGGAGTCATGCATGTGAAAGTTATCAAAAGTACCCCTTGAAAGTTTAAGGTACTGTATTTTCTCACATACCACCTGCCCCCCAAATGAGATACATTTTCTTCATTTTGCCTTCCCAAAATAAGATGCATATTTTTTTCCAGCCCTGGCTAAACACAGGCTGCAGCGGATCCTGACTCCGGCAGCCATGGCTGTGAGAGGGTTAACACACTAGCTGACCCTGAAGGGTGAGCTCTACCCCTCCTTCCCTGCAGCTGGTAGAGGAAGAAGCAGGGCAGCCATCTTGCAGCAGTGTCTCCCTGCTTCCATTTGTCCATGTTTCTATTCCAATAAAGGGGGGAAATCAGGTTCCCCCCTCCCCATCCCTTAAGACACCCCAATTTTGGAGGGCTGTTTTCCTGGGGGGTGGAAAATGTACATGTGGTATTTGAGTAAATACGGGAATTGTTCCCCAGAGGAAAGGGCCACCTAGTAACCTGTGGGTTTTTCCCCCACTTTGAAAGTTGAGAAAAAGATCCACATACACCTCAGATAAAAGGAAAAACTTGCCCAGCTCTTTTAAACCACTACATACTGAAGAGAAATTTTTTATGAAACCCTTCACTCAAAGTAGCATCACCAGATAATTGTCCTTTTAACCGTCATATACACAACACTTAAAAAAATATTATGAATAGAAGAAACTTATAAATACTTCAAGTTATAATCGCAGTTGAGAGCCACATCTGTACAAAATGTAAGCGACATATATAAATGATTAAGAAAAAGTGCAAAAACAGAACAGTATCAAGAGTCTCCACTTTTTACAGTATTTATGGTTCAAGTCTGAACAATGAGCAAGGACGCACAAGCCCAGAGTTTAAAAAACACAAAACAAAACAGTTCTGAAGCGATACAATAATGGTTGTTGCCTACACAAAGTTGCAAACCATTATTGAATCACATCCCTCCCTCCCATCTTAGCACATCTACAACTTCCAGTTATTAAAACAACACTTTAAAAAAAACCCCAAAAGTTCTGGCTCAAGTGATTTGTCCCGTTGTTTTAATACAACCCACAGCACACCAAGTTCCTTAACTGGACACCTAGATCATCATCCACAGGTAAAACAAGATAATGGGAAACCTGGCTTCCAACTGCAGCTTGTTTTGATTGACATCTAAAGGCAAACAGAAATCCCTTTATAAAACAGGTAATACAAAATGCTAGTTTAGACCCTGATCCTGTCAACTTACACACTTCACTCACATGAATAGTGCTACAAGGTAAAGTTACATGTGCATGTAAAAGTTTAGAGGATTAGAGTCTGAAGATCCCACAGCAAGAATGTTAGAGACAGCTGTCCCATTCGACCATCGCCTGCCCGCTAAGATCCTGGCTCTGTATCTAGTTGGTGACCTTACAAGTATCAGCAGCTTTTCCAGTAGAAGGAAGCTTTAATTCTACATAAAACTTTGTGTTAAAGCTGAAAGTGCTGTTGGAATAGGAACGTCTTGGCAAGTTAAATAAAAAAAGAAAAAACATTTTAAAATGTATATCAAAGAGAACACCTGAAGAATGAAGTTACAATTAACTATTTTAAAGAACCTTTCAGTACACATACAAATTAATTTAAACAGTCATTTAACTGTATTCCCAAGGAA